ACGTGAGCCCATTCGTTCTGGAAAAACAGCAAAAGGACAAATCTTCACATTGTTTAGTTATAAGCCCTTGAGTTTTCCCTCGTTAATCCCTGAGTTATCCTACTTCGTGATTCCTAGTAATATATGGTAGGCAAGCTCTGTAATTACTAAGAACTACTTAATTACCTGTACATTTGTCTCTTGCATCCCAGCCTCGAATCTGTCACCTCTGTCTAACCCTCCTTGGTATTTAAATAGCTAATCTGGTGCAGACTGCTGAGTTAACGATGTGCAAACCTCTAAGCACCTTCACCTTGACCTTCACAATTGTGTTTCTTTAGTATTTCCTTTTGTGTTTCTGTGCATGAACTGACTTGGCCTTTGCTAATAATTAAAAGTATTCGCTGAAGTATTCACCAAAGTCAGTAGATAAGAATTTCTGTGGACAGTGTGTCTGTGACATTAGCTTGTCCCCCAAAGTATAAAACCAACTGAGGTGAGTATTTTTGAAAACTGGCTGGAGTCGATACATATGTATTTGAAAGCATCCATGTATTCATTACTCAGTAGGTATTAGGCTTCTGCTATGACGTGCTCAGTCCTGTCCTAGGCACTGACGACAAAAACCCCTGGCTTCATGCACCAGCATCCTAGTGGGGTGGGACGGGGGAGACAGATAATAAAGAAGCAAAATACATTATAAGTCACGGGGAGATAACAACTATGGGAAAAATAAGGCCGAAAAGGCTGACAGGGAGAAGGAATTGAGCTTTAAAATAGGATGCTTATCCATTACTCACAATAGTCAGGATATGGAAACAATGTGTATATCTTTTGATGGATGAACCGAGAAAGAAAACATGCTATATACACATGATGGAATATTATTCAGTTTTTAAAAAGAAGGGGAACCTGCCTTTTGTGACACCTATGGGACATTCTGTTAAGTGAAATAAGCCAGATACAGAAAGACAATACTGCATGACCTCACTTATATGTGGAATCTAAAGGGTCAAACTCATATAAACAGAGAGTAGAATGGTGGTTAGCAAAGGCTAGGGAGGGGAGGGTGAAGTAGGTAGATGTTGGTCAATGGCACAAAGTTTCAGTGATGCAAGATGAATACGTTCTGGAGATCTAAGGTACCACAATGTCACCATGGTTAATATCGTATTGTATATTGCTAAAAGGGTAGATCCTAAATGTTATCACCACAAAAATAAGATAATAAAGTGAAATAGGGTGCTTAGAGGAAATAGCTTATGAAAATCTCAACAAGGTAAGGGGTGAGCTACACAGATGTAGGGAGCAACCAGGCAGACAAATGCCCAGCAAATTCTGGCAACAGCAGAAAGGCTGATGTGTAAGAAGCCAGTGAGACCAGAAAGAGATTGGGGTGCCTGATTTTATAGGATACATACTTGATGGATAAGGACTTGACTTTTTCTTGGTGTGAGACAGGAAACCTTTGAAAGGTTTCAAGCATAGGGATGCCCAGCTGGCTCAGTCGGTAGATCATGTGACTCTTGATCTCAGGGTTGTGGGTTCAAGCCCCATGTTGGGTGTAGAGATTACTTAAAAACAAAATCTTTAAAAAAAGAAATAAAAAAAGAAAGGATTCCAGCATAAAAGTGGCCTGGTGGACTCGTGATTTCGAGGGGGGTCATCTGATTGTGAGGTGGAGAACAGACAAGAAAAGCAAGGGGAAACCAGGACCAGATGGGAGGTAATGGTGGCTTGGTCCAGTGGGGAGCAGTGGGCGTAGAGAGAAGAGGTTAGAGTCTGGATATGTTTTAAAAAGCAGAGATAATAGGATTTATTGGCAGGTTGGATGAAGGGTGTGAGTGAAAGGAGTTAAGGTGTTCAGAATATGCATGTGTGAGTATAAGAGTGTAAGTCTATATAAAGCTGAACATTATCCAAAGGTGTCTGGCTTAATTGCTTGCTTATTTACTTTTGCTCCATCCCAAAGCCCTGCAAGGCTTTGTTCGTTGCTGTATGCCCAGTGTCTAGAATAGTCTCTCTCTCTCAAAAATGAAGAAAGTATTTATTATGAGTAATGGAATTACAGAAAAATTGTAAAGAGCTCTGTTATTCTCTGTCTTTCCAATTTTTAGCTTGGAATATTTAATGTATTTAAAAATAATACATTTGTTTAATTATAGAAAATAAATTTGTAGAATTATGTGATGTAAGCATTTAACAATTGTTTATTAAGATTATGATTAAAATGTGAAAGAGTCTACATTCTACAGATGGCCTGGTGTTATTTTGAAAGCCAATGTCAATGTGAGTAAATGAATCTAAACAGTATACAGGAATAAATCCTAATCCTATAGAATAAAACAGCTTTGTTGGATGTGCAGGATCAGTTGCTAGGACAGAATAGACTTTTTTATTGCTGTTTTTTGACAAGGACACTACCTGGGGCTAGCCTTCAGCCAGCCAGTCAACTGTACTGAGTTTGCGTCCATGAGTTAATCGTCTCTTGATTATCACTTGATTCAAAAGGAGGTTTTTTTTTTTTTTTTCATTTTTATTTATTTATTTGACAGAGAGAAAGACAGCGAGGGAGGGAACACAAGCAGGGGGAGCGGGAGAGGGAGAAGCAGGCTCCCGGCCGAGCAGGGAGCCCGATGTGGGGCCCGATCCCAGTACCCTAGGACCACGACCTGAGCCGAAGGCAGACATTTAATGACTGAGCCACCCAGGCGCCCCAAAAGGAGGTTTTTTAGAGATGCCAACCTTCCCATAACCAGGACATTTCTATAAACCTTGCTTGAGTTAAGGCTCATGGAGTATTGTTACTCACATACGTAAGTGCCTTTAATTTGGTTCTTTGTGAAAACAGAGCACTGGAGACAGTTGGTTTGTTATTAAGAAGCAATGTATAGATGTAACTAATCTTGGATGTTTCCAAGTAGAACAAATACACCTAGGGCCCTGCAGTGGGTCACAGGACCACACTGCATGTTTACATTCTGAAATCCAAAAAACTCTTGAAAACTGCCAGCTTTTGGGGGGACCTCATCTGGAAGCAAAGCCAGACTGACCAGAACTCATTTGGTGGTGAACTTGAACTGCGGTCCCTGAAGCTATGTATGGTTTTTACATATTGCATCTAATGTGAATTGTGCCACTGCAGAAATAATAACGTGTCTGATCACAGGGTCGTGTACCGCGTTACATAATATACACTGGAAAGTATAATATACACTCTGCCATCCTTCTATTTCGAAGAATTCTGTTTTCTGAAACACATCTGGCCTCACAGGCTTGGCATCGTCCTGGACTGTGTTTGCTGTCTGGGGCTGATGGCGCTGACTTTGTCCTTCCTTAAGAAATAAGGCTGTCTCGCTTTGCAAATGCTGCAGGATTTTCCCGGCGACTGGAGCATTTGCAAAGCAGGGTCTGTTTCTGACAGTTCTGTCTAGTTTCTATGTGTGCGTGCCGTGCTTTGTGGTGACGAAGCTGCCGGCCCCTTCCTTTCCCGATAGGGCACAACCTTGGAGAAAGGTAGCACGAATCTAGGTGACACTGGGCTCCTGTCTTGTCACCTGTCAGTGATGGAAAATGAGTATTAGAAGGAGGCATCCTGGTGGTTGGCTAAATGGGTGACTCCAAACCATATCAAAAGATACCATCTGATCTTTTAGTGATGACAGAGCCCTCTGTGGACGTGATAGACTAACGTGTCTCAGGGCAGTGTCAAAGCCATTAAAAGCCTGACAACTCAAATCAGTCTTGAGTTGGGCTCCCTGCTCCATCACATTTAGACTGGGTTTTCCCGGGGCAGTGGGGTCCTCTCTGTAACCCATGTGATTCAGCCTAACTCATAATAAACTTACTACATAATTTTCATCATAACTTCCTTTTCTTGGGGAAAAGGTGTCCAGTCTGGGATTCCGGGAGGTTCCTAACCCAGTAAATTCCACAGCTCCCCTCTTTAAATCTTGTATTTTCACCTCCCTATCCCCACCTCCCCAAGCCCTTAACACACAACTCAGGCTAAAACACTAGCCATGGGTTTAGAATACCTAGAATCTGAAAGATAGACTCTTAGAGTAAAGGATCTAACCTTTCCCCAGTATAAGGCCCCCATACTTGTCATACCTTGAGGAGAGGGCCCCTCATGCACAACAGAGCCCATCTTTGGTCAGAGCAGCTCAACCGAAACCGACTCCTCTTGCTTCTATATGGGGGCCTCAGGAACTTGCAGGAAGGGCCTGCAAAAATTGGAAGGTGGTTTCCCTTTCTCCTTTCTTCCAGGATTTACCCCACTTGCTCTTGGACATTGAGGGAGCACATGGGCATCTGCATTGGGTACCAGCTGAGAAGCTTAACGCTTGGGTCCCTGGGGGAGAGTGGTGATTAGGTCTTTGGGTGTCCAGTGTGGGGTGTTTGGGGGGGGGTGATTTAAATGGCTCTGGAACTTGATGCTGTTACAGAAAACACCCAAGCTGCCAGTAGAACCAGGATCTTTTCACTGAAATCCAAAGGGCCATGAGAAAGGCTGTCATTGGCCAGGCTCCCAGGCCACTCGAACAGGGAGAGAGGAGGGGGTGCAAACCCCGCCCAAGCCCCAGGGGGATGGCATTGGCACGGATGACTTCTGGTCAGCCCCAGGACGGCAGGCCAGGCATTTCAAAGGGTGCGGGAGCTAAGAGGCCTTCCCCAGCCACGCTCTGCTCCTCCGTGGCCCGCGCCACCAGGGAACCCGGGTCAGAATTAGAGTCCGGGTGGGAAGCAGACGTGTAACCGGGGAGACGCAGTTACGGTGGAGGAAGATACCAGAAAGCTTAAACCGGGCGAACGGGCGCAGTGTCTTGGGGTCGAGCCCATTTTGCCCCCAGGTCCAGCGCTCCGCCCCGCCGGGCGGCCCCCTTCCCCCGAGCCCAGAGCGGGGCGTCCTCCTGGAGCGGGCGCAGGGGGCCCCTGGCACCGAGCTCCTCGCCCAGGGCCACTGGCTCTATCAGCAGTGTCAAGGAAGGGTCTCCAGTGGAGGACAGGGATCTGCGGCCATGGCCGAGGCCGCGGAGCTGGAGGGGGCCTCCCCAGATCCCCAGGGGCCGCCTGAGGGCCCCGCGCCTCGGGCGGAGAAACCTGGCGAGCTGGGGGCCGCGGGCCAGGAGGCGGAGCGGGAGGAGGCCAGCGAGGGCGCCGCGGAGGCGCCGAGGAGCGAGGGGGCGGGCGCAGCCGCGACGGCCGCGGTGAACCAGGCGGAAGGCACCGATCCCGACGGAGGGTGCGCGGGCGAGCCGGAGCCGGGCGCGGACAGTGGCCCGGGGGCCGAGACGCAAGGCGCGAGGGCAGCGCAGGGCGAGGCGGAGGCCGAGGAGGGCGCCCCAGGGTGCGCCGAGGTCCCCCAGGGAGAGGAGGCGAGCGGCGCCGAACAGGTGGAGGAGGCGAGCCCCGGCTGCGGCACGCAGGGCGAAGCCTCGAGGGAGGTTCAGGGGGAGCCCGGGGAGCCCGAGGCCCCCGGGGAGAAGGAGAAAGCGGAGCAAGGGCCGGAGGAACCCGGAGGCGGCACGCCGGGGGCCAGCATGGAAGCCGCGGGGCAGGCGGGAGGGGCGCACGGGGCCGAGGGTGAACCCCGGGACGGAGGGGACCCCAGCCCCCAGCTCCAGGCCGAGGCCACGGAGGCCGCAGCGGCGGAGATTGGGGGGTGCGGCCCCGGGGGGCTTGCAGGGGAGCCTCGGGGTGCAGCGGCGGGCGCCGCCGCCGACGAGACGGGGGCCCCGGGGACAGAAGAGTCGGAGGAAGTGGCCCCGGGGGACGCGAGGGCGGAAGCTGTCGAGGACGGGGACCAGGGTGGACCCCAGGAGGAGATGGAGGAGGCAGAGGAGGAGAGGCAAGAGCGCGGCCCGGAGGGGCCAGGCGAGCAGGCCGCAGCCGGGGGCGAGGAGGAGCCCCCAGACAGCAGCAGCGCGCCGGCGGAGGCGGCCGCGCCAAGCGGGGCCGCGGAGGCGGAGGCCGAGCAGCCGGAGGCCGAGCAGCCGGAGGCCGAACTCAGCAACCACCTGGCGGAGGAGGGCAGCGTCGAGGGCGGGGACGAGACCGCGCGGGTGAACGGCCGCCGGGAGGACGGCGAGGCGTCGGAGGAGGGGGCCCCGCGGCAGGAGCACGACATCACCCTCTTCGTGAAGGTAAATTGAGCCGTCCCGGCAACTCGTAGCGCTTTTTGAGCCTTGGTCTTCCAGGTGTCCTGATTGTCGCTTCTATTCACAGCCTGGGGGTCATGGGGGAGTTTCAGGAGCGTTTTGGGAGACAGGATGGTTTGGAAACAAAGAGGTCGGGTAAGGGTCGTAGGGGAAGTGGGGGTGCGGGTCCAGCATCCCACTGTCCTTTGTTCTGAAAATCCTAACTGGCCCTTCTAGTCCGGAGATTACTGAAGAATCAATGAAAAAAAAAAAAGAAAAGAAAAGAAAAAGTGACACGCCCTCTTGATGTTCAAAGCAATTCATGCCAAAGGAAGCTCTAATACTTGAAGTGGGGAAAAAAAAATGCGAACAGGTTGTAATGTGAGAAGTCTCCCCAGGACTCAAATTTCAGAGGCCCACAGTTGGCCAATGTTTTCAGCTCCAAAAAAGTATCCCTCCTTAGTATTTGGAAGGAAAGTGGAAATTTATTTAAATATTATAATATTTGTTGAGCATTTTAACATTGGTTTTGGAAGAACACGAGATGCTGGGTGACTTGAACATCATCTGCCTTTATGTCATATTTCAACCTCGCTTCAAATGGGAAGAAAGCAATGATTTTGTTAAAGAATCTGTAGGACACGACTGAGGAAGTTTGGAGTTTAAAGAGGCCTTTCTACAAGGCATCAAAAATAAGGGGCAAGGTCCAGCTGTAGCTCACACACACGGGGATCTTTGTTTAAAAAAAAAAAAAGCGCTTTCTGAGGACCTTTGGCCAGACCAGGAGAGCAGCAGATAATAAGGTCAAGAATGTGCATTGCATGTTCAATCATAATCCTTTCAAAATACTTTCAGGCTTATAGAAGCCAGTTAGGACCTAAAGCTCCTTGACGGGAATGTAAGCAAATTCTAATAAGCAAAAAGAGAAAAGTTTCCAAAGTGATTAACACCAGAATTTCAAGAATCCTTTGGGGGGCAAGGGAGTTAGGGAAGAGAGGGCATGCATTTGTTTCTTCACTAGTGGGAAGGCGTTGTTCTGAGCATTTTTGAAGCCCCTGGAGCATATTAAGGTTAAGTGTTGGGATATAATCTAAGGGCACAGCCTCTAGGAAGGCCCCTGGGAGTTGGACGTCTGCAGGAAAGGCCAAGGGGAGTGGGAGGGGAGGAGGAAGGGGAGAGCTGAACACAGTGCTGCCTGTATGTACCCCAGATCTGCTCTTGATTTAAGCAATTCCCCGTTGCTTCGTCTCATGGCCACTTGCTTCCAGCACATCTTTGCAGTTTCTTGTTACAGTTTTTGAAATACAGTAACATTTTCCTACCCTGTCTTCTTGCTTCCATTTCCCAGCTCTCCTGGCTAGGCCCTCGGTGATATCCCGTGAGCTAGGAAATGAGATCCGATCACTTTGTTTCTGAAAGTAAAATTGCACCAGTTGCTTATTGTAGACTTTCAAATGAGTCCACCCTCCTTAGCCAGGCCACAGGCCACTCATGATGGCATTTGTGCCTCTGCGGTATTGCCTGGGTGTCCCCCCCGACTTTGTCACCCATGGTACCACCAGGCCAGCCATGTTGAAGTAGTTATCATTCCTTGAGAGAACCATATTCTTGCCTGCCTGGAAATTGTGCAGGTGCTGTGCCTTCTGCCCGAATCGAGTTTCTTCCCCCCTCGCCCCCCTCCCGGCCTCCTGCCTGGTTATCTCCTGTGTGTCTAGACTCAGCACAGGCCTCATCTCCTCTGGGGGGCCTTTGCCAACCCCAGGCCAGGTTGGGTGTCCCTCTGTTGAAGGTCCACTCACACATTGCGTGTTTTATCTCTTCCCTTGACTGTGTGAAGTTCGTCTTCCATCCTCCATGTGGAGCCCAGGCTTGGAACATGATGGAGGTTTGAATGGGTGGCTGCTGGAACGAGGTGTATATACCGCGGTAATCAATAGTAGGGACCTTAGAACCAGCGGGATCAAATCCTGGCTCTGCTACTTTCTTGCAGTGTGACCTTGGGCAAGCTACGTGACCTTTCTGTGCCTTTGTTGCTTATGGATAAAATGGGGATAATCATAGTACCTACCCCCCGAGGTTGTTGTGGGGATTCAAAAATTAGATTCCATAAAGCACTTAGAATAGTACCTGGCTTGAAATTAAGCATAGTGTAAATGCGCATTCTTGTCATTTTATCTGCTCAGCTCCCACAAACGTCCATTGATTTTGCACGGAAACAATCCCCTGCCCATTCCATCCCTGCCTCTTTTTTTTTTTTTTAAAGATTTTATTTATTTATTTGTGAGAGAGGAGAGAGAGAGAGGGCACAAGCAGGCGGAGTGGGAGAGGGAGAAGCAGGCTTCCCACTGAGCAGGGAGCCCGATGCGGGGCTCGATCCCAGGACCCTGGGATCTTGACCTGAGCTGAAGGCAGACGCTTAACCGACTGAGCCACCCAGGTGCCCACCCCCCTTTTTTCTTAGGAGAAAATCTCTCTAGGTAGCTAATTGCCTCCATTCTCTGGGGATAGGAATGTTATGAAACGTAAAAATAAATTTTTTTCCTCAGATCCTGCTCAGGAGAAGTTTGTGTGGGCAGAGGCAAGGGGCTTGTCATGGACAGCTTATCCAGATTGTTCTTTTCTGACGTGATCCGCTTGGTGCTCAGTTGCCTGCTTCCACCCCGCCTTTTTTTTTTTTTTTTTCTTTTTAATTTAAGAAAACAGATCTCCAAACAGGGAGACTGGTCTTTAAGCAACTGCTACTTGATATAAGGTCTGAGGGTCACTTAAGATGTGCCTCGTC